TCTTCCTGAAAGGATTTCAAAATAAAAATCATAAACATGCTCATGGAGGTATAGAAAAATATTCAAGAACTCAGGAATGAATTCTGGTTGGAGATCCAATCATTACGGAGCACGTACCAGAAATGAAACATAGATTTGAAGGTTTTAAAAGGAGATTAGATAAGGTGGAGACGATAAATGAAATAGAAATTAGAGAAGAGGAATTCAAAGAAGCTGAGGCATAGAGAGAAAAAAAGGTTCTCTAAGAATGAAAGAATACTGAGAGAACTGTGTGACCAATCCAAACAGAACAACATTCATATTACAGGGGTACCAGAAGAAGAAGAGAGAGAAAAAGGGATAGAAAGTGTCTTTGAGGAAGCAATTGCTGAAAACTTCCCCAATCTGGGGAAGGAGATAGTCTCTCAGGCCATGGAGGTACATAGACCTCCCAACACAAGAGACCCAAGGAAGACAACACCAAGACATATAGTAATTAAAATGGTAAAAATCAAGGATAAGGACAGACTATTAAAAGCAGCCACAGAGAGAAATAAGATCACATATGAAGGAAAGCTCATCAGGCTATCATCAGACTTCACAGCAGAAATCTTACATGCCAGAAGGGAGTGGCATGATACATTTAATGCAATGAAACAGAAGTGCCTCGAACCAAGAATATTTTATCTGGCAAGATTATTATTTAAATTTGAAGGAGGGATTAAACAATTTCCAGGTAAGCAAAAGCTGAGAGAATTTACCTCCCACAAACCCTCTCTACAGTCTATTTTGGAGGGACTGCTATACATGGAAGTGTTCCTAAGGTTGAATAGCTGTCACCAGAGGTAATAAAACCACAGTAAAGAAAGTAGAACAGTCAATTACTACGCAACTACAAAATTAAATCAATGACCCCCAAAGTCAATCAACGGATAGACAAAGAGTACAGAATATGATACCTAATATATAAACAATGGAGGAGGAAGAAAAAGGAGGAGAAAAAAGAACCTTTGGATTCTGTTTGCAATTGGCATACTGAGTGAGTTGAGTTGGACTCTTGGATAGTAAGGAAGTTATCTTGAACCTTTGGTAACTACGAATCTAAAGCCTGCAATGGCAATAAGTACAACCTTTCAATAATCACCCTAAGTGTAAATGGACTGAATGCACCAATCAAAGGACACAGAGTCACTGAATGGATAAAAAAACAAGACCCATCTATATGCTGCCTGCAAGAGACTCACTTTTAAACCAAAGACATGCACAGACTAAAAGTGAAGGGATGGAAAAAGATATTTCATGCAACTAATAGCAAGAAAAAAGCAGGAGTAGCAGTTCTTGTATCAGACAAAATAGACTTCAAAACAAAGAAAGTCACAAGAGACAAAGAAGGACATTACATAATGATAAAGGGGTCAATCCAACAAGAAGATATCCCATTATAAATATATATGCACCCAACACAGGAGCACCTACGTATGTGAAACACATACTAACAGATTTAAAAGGGGAAATAGAATGCAATGCATTCATTCTAGGAGTATTCAACACTCCACTCCCTCCAAAGGACAGATCAACTAGACAGAAAATAAGTAAGGACACAGAGTCACTGAACAACACACTAGAACAGATGGACCTAACAGACATCTACATAATTCTACACCCAAAAGCAGCACAATACATAGTCCTCTCAAGTTCACATGGAACATTTTCAAGAATAGATCATACGCTAGGCCACAGAAAAAGCCTCAATAAATTCAAAGCGATTGAAATTGTACGAACCAGTTTCTCAGATCACAAAGGCATAAAATTAGAAATAAACTACACAAAGAAAATGAAGAATCCCACAAACACATGGAGGCTACACAACATGTTCCTAAATAATCAATGGATTGATGACCAAATAAAAACAGAGATCAAGCAAAGAGGGAAACAAATGACAACAATAATTCAACACCACAAAAATCTGTGGGACGCAGGGAAGGCCGTGCTAAGAGGAAAGTATAATGCAATATAGGCCTACCTCTGGAAAGAAGATCAATCCCATATGAACAGTCTAAACTCACAATCAACAAAACTAGAAAAGGAAAAACAAATGAGACCCAAAGTCAGTAGAAGGAGGGGCATAATAAAGATTAGAGCAGAAATAAATAAAATCGAGAAGAATAAAACAATAGAAAGAATCAATGAAAGCAAGAGTTGGTTCTTTGAGACACTAAACAAAATAGAAAAACCCCTAGCCAGACTAATCAAGAAAAAAAGACAGTCTACAAACATAGATAGAATCAGAAATGAGAAAGGAAAAATTACTACGGATACCATAGAAATATAAAGAATTATTAGAGAATGCTATGAAAAATTATATGCTAACAAGCTGGATAACCTAGAAGAAATGGACAACTTTCTAGAAAAATACAACTTTCCAAGGATGACCCGAAAGAAAATCTGCACAGACCAATTACCAGCAATGAAATTGAATTGGTAATCAAGAAATGACCTAAGAACAAAAAAACAGCTGGCCCAGATGGCTTCACCACTGAATTTTATCAAACATTTAGTGAAGACCTAATACCCATCCTCTTTAAAAGTTTTCCAAAAAGTAGAAGAGGAGGGAATACTTCCAACTCATTCTACGAGGCCAGCATCACTCTAATATGAAAACCAGGCAAAGACACCCCAGAAAAAGAAAATTATAGAACAATATCCCTGATGAACACAGATGCAAAAATACTGAACAAAATATTTGCAAACCAAATTCAAAAATATATCAAAAAGATCATCCACCATTATCAAGTAGGATTTATTTCAGGGCTGCAAGGATGGTACAATATTAGAAAATCCATCTACATCATCCACCACATCAACAAAAGGAAGGACAAAAACCACATGATCATGTCCATAGATGCTGAAAAAGCATCTGACAAAATACAACATCCATTCATGATAAAAACTCTTAACAAAATGGGTATAGAGGGCAAGTATCTCAACATAATAAAGGCCACATATGACAAACCCACAGCCAACATCATACTTAACAGCGAGAAGCTGAAAGCCTTTCCTTTAAAATCAGGAAAAAGACAAGGATGCCCACTCTCTCCACCTGTATTCAACATAGTTCTGGAGGTCCTTCCCACAGCAATTAGACAACACAAAGAAATAAAGGGCAAAACAACCCAATTAAAAAATGGGCAGAGGATATGAAGAGACAGTCCTCCAAAGAAGAAATTCAGATGGCCAAGAGACACATGAAAAGATGCTCCACATCACTAATTATCAGGGAAATGCAAATTAAAACCACAAGGAGATATCACCTCATACCAGTAAGGATGGCCAGCATCTAAAAAACTAAGAACAGCAAATGCTGGCAAGGATGCTGAGAAAGGGATACTTTCCTACACTTCTGATAAGAATGTAAGCTAGTGTGTAGAGCAATATGGAGGTTCCTCAGGAAACTAAAAATAGACATACTATTTGACCCGGGAATCCCAATCCTTGGAATTTACCCAAAGAATACAACTTCTGAGATTCAAAAAGACATATGCACCCCTATGTTTATTGCAGACTATTTACAATAGCCAAGATATGGAAGCAACCTAAGTGTCCAATCAGTAGATGAATGGATAAAGAAGATGTAGTATATATACACAATGGAATACTATTCAGCCATAAGAAAGAAACAAATCCTACCATTTGCAACAACATGGATGGAGCTGGAGGATATTATGCTCAGTGAAATAAGCCAGGTGGAGAAAGACAAGTGCCAAATGATTTCCCTCATTTGTGGAGTATAACAAAAAAGCAAAACTGAGGGAACAAAACAGCAGCAGACTCACAGACTCCAAGAAGGGACTGGTGGTTGCCAAAGAGGAGGGGTGTGGGAGGGAGATTGGGAGGGAGAAGGGGACTGAGGGTTATTATGTTTTGTCCACACAGTATGAGGGGTCACGGGGAAAACAGTGTAGTACAGAGAAGGCAAATAATGAATCTATGGCATCTTACTGCACTAATGGACAGTGATTGCAATGGGGTATGGGTAGGGACTTGATAATATGGGTGAATGTAGTAACCACACTGCTTTTTCATGTGAATCCTTCATAATAGTGTACATCAATAATATCTTAATAAAAAAAATTTACTGAATTTGGTGGGCATCTCAGCACTCCCAAATTTCCTAACTTCAAATAGTTACTGTCAGAATTGAACTGCATTGCTGGAAAATCCATTGGTGTCACAGAACTGCATAATTGTTTGTTGTCTGTGAAGATACCACACAATTTGCTTCAGAAAAAAACAAACAATATAAAAAATGCAAGCAAAGGCTAGAGGTCCACCCACTATAAATGTGTCAAAGATATTTTACACTGAGTGGATAGAAAGATAGAGTTTTTCAAGGGATCATTAAGATCCTTACAAATAGAAATAAACATTGAAAATTTGTGAATTTTTCCAACTGTTCTTTCCTGCTGGGTACATCAAGTTTTTTAGTATATATACATGAAAAAAACCCCATAAAAATCAAAGCAAGACCTTTGATTAGGAGATATATCTGTGTCGTGTAAATTAGGAGATATATCTGTCACGTCTACTTGTCATTCTCTACTATTGTTCTCTCTCAGGAACTGGAAGACATATTCAAAGCTGATCATCCACTGATGTTTTTCATTTAGTCACGAGGAAAGTAGTAGTTAAAAAGCAGAAGCAAAAAAGTATAGAACAAAACCCAAGAAAATTCAGATAATTATGTAAATAACAATTAACTTACATGTGCTCAAATGCAATCTTACACATATCAAAGAAAGTTAAATTATGACAATGCTATCTTTTGTATAAGTTGCCAGCTAAATTGATGAACTCAGTGTTGGACCTTACTACATTTTAATGCACATACATGCTATTATCACAGCATTTAGATCTAGCAGGGCCTGAGAGAAGTATCTGATAGTGCAGCCTGTGAGGTAGCCAGCTGGCCGAATGCACTGCTGGCACAGCGGCCCTGTGCTTTGGTGTTGGGGCTAGCTCACCTGAATCACACACAGTGGCAATGTCACCTGTTGTCTCACTGGCAGAGACGGCCGTGACAGGACTTTTGTGTCCCGCCAGACTTTGTACGTAGCACAACCTGAAAGATCAAAGATGTGAATTTGCAAATAAACATTAAATATACTTATATTCTTATTTGTATAAATCTTTTCTTCAGTATATGCACTGACTATTCATAAGGCATTCCTAACTGTATCCCTAAGTGATCTTTTGATTTTAATAAATTACAAAGGTAATGTCTGTATTTCATGCTTAAAATTATAATATAATTAAAGATACTATTTTAGTGGATCTGTTTCATACAATAAGAACTGAAGCATTAAAAATAGCTAAGTTTGGTTGGAGACCTTCTTCTGTACCTGTTTAAATCCCATATGATGCAGGTTCCATCTCTGCTCACACTTATCATTATACTGTACGGTTTGCAAACAAACAAGCTGGTTATTTCCTCTGTGTGCCCATAGAGATGTATCTGAGACTCCATTTCTATCTCTGAAGGCTGAAATTAAAAAATTAAGTATAAGACAAAAGCATTGACAAAAGATAACCTAGTGTTATCTCAAAAATAAAAACAACCTGTCTCATTTCTTTCAAACATACCATTTTTCCATCCAATTCAGTTCAACTTTTTCTAAAGAGTAACACTAAGTAAACATTAAAAAATTTTAAATTGTCCATAATTTCATCAACTAATATACATTGCATTTTTTTGTTTATTCTTGTCCAGTTTATCCAAATAAATATACATCTATTTTTTTAGTTGTGATTACTGCCATGTAATTTTGTTTTTTATTTTATTCTCTCATAAGCATTTCTACTTTTGACACTGTCTTCAAAATGATTTTCAATGTTGCTGTAATATTCTAATCAGTTAGTATGCCATAATTTACTTGAGCATCCTTTATTGATAAACATTGAAAACTGTTTCTAATTTTTTCAAAATTATAGATGTTAGAATTAAATTCTTCATGTATGAAAGTTTTGTTGCTCCTCTGAATTATTTCCTTAGAATGAATTTCCAGGATCTCACTAGTGGGTCAGTGAATATTGATAATTTTATAGTGTTTGACAGTGTACTTTTTAAAGGCATAGCACCAATTCACGATTCCACCAAAGGTGGTGTATATAATGACACATTACTTGTCAATAGCTAGGAATTGGTTGTCTAAATCAAAGGTCACAAACTGATGTTCCAAGGTCCACACTGCCTTACAGATGCAAGATGTCCCCAAAAGGTTTGACTCATTTTCACAGGGCTGTTTATTGCCATAAAGTATTTCCACTTCAAAGAATACAGAAAAGTAGACTAAGTATAACAAAAATATACACTGACCACTCAGTTAAACTACTCCTAACATTTTATATGATCACTTTATTTTTTAAATACAGAAAACATTACACATTACATAGTTTGGGTACTGTTCAACATCCCATTTCCCCTCCCCTGTCAGGAGTTCCCACTGCCCTGAATTTTGTATTTATATTTCCCACGTATGTAGAATACATGTTCTACAATATGTTACTAAAACTATGAACAACATATTGTATTGTTTTTTATGTTGATAAACTTTATATATGTGGTATTATTCTTTAGGTATCTTCTGCATTTGCTTTTTTGTTCACTATTGTTTTTGAAACATATCTGTGTTGCTATATTAGCTGAAACTCATCTATTTTAAGTGCTATGTAGTCCAGTGTTTTATTCATATAAAAATACATATTTTACACTTAGAGAATTAAATGACTAGACAACACCAGGTTCACATTCTTCCTTGGAACAACAGGCTTGAGCTGTGTAGTAGCTGCTCTGTTCAGCCAGGGCATGTGGCCTTCAACTGAACACAACCACAGCAACCAGGTGGGCTTTGAACAAGAGAGAGGGTCCTGGGTGTAGGCCCCTTCTGGCTCTCTGACTGTGACCTTTTGTGCAGGGCCAGTAGTGTGCAGGACTGAAGAGATGCGCCCAGAACCCTTTCAGACCATGCTGCAGGCTACCTGGGACCGAAGAATTCCATGCACCAAAAGCGCTAAGCCTCTTCTTTCTCTGCTTGAGCTCTGCAGCATTTGAATTTGTGACTCACCTTTCATTCTAAATCTTTGAAAATTTCCCAGGTGTTAAATGGCAATCAAGGTTGCTTTAAGTTGCATTTTCTAAAGTTTAACTTTTTCACATATTCACTTTCTTATCCATACATTTGTGTGCAGGTTTTATGTACTTGTTACTATGTTTAAAAAAATTCACTTATAGGAACTCCTCTATTTGTGGAACAGAATGCAAGTATCCTCCTTGTTTCTGCCAGATGACATGGACCGCATGCCAATCTAGGGACGCCTTATCCAAAGTTGAGTCCTGAGGTTCCCCCCAGGACAACCAGGGAATTCCAACCCAGGCTGTGGTTTCATGCAAGAGCTGAAACATATGTATGTATATATGTCATATGTATTCTTTTATTACTCCATAACCATGAATAATATTCATGGAGTAAACACAATATAGGGTCCCTGTAATGGTTGATAATTTTATATATTTTACACTTTAAAATGATCACAAGAGTTAGTGTAACTAGATGATTCTCTGATGGATCAGAAAATAATTTCTATGGGTAAAACAGGAATCTTATGGTGCCCTACTTCATTTTAAAATTGTTCTTGAATGACATACTACTATCATGGATGAACTGAATGTATATATTCTCCTATAGCCGCCACTTGAGAGAACAGAAATGTAGTTGGTCACTTATATGAAGATGACGTGGCTACACTATTTAGTACATGAAAAAATGACTCAAGCAACTATTTTAAAATCACACCACTTTTAGAAAACATTCTTTTCTAATATAAAAATGGCTTATAGATAACAATTCCTTATAACAAGTCAACTTATTCATCAATACCTGGAATGCACTTAGAAGGCTATCTTGGGAGATTCAACAGAAACTTACAAAGCTCAAAGATATGCTTCACTAGCTAAGGAAGGTATTTCATAAGAGGCCCTTGAAAATATTTTCAACAATTATTTTGGTCATACATTAATGGAACTTGAGGAATCTTTCTTTTGTCTATGTTAAAGCCAACACCGATGGGAACATAAATGCTTTTAGAACCATGGCATTCAGTGGGTTGGGAGAACAGAAACTAGTGAACATGAGGTGCTTCCTGCTAATCTCACAGGTGCAGGCTCAGAACTGCAGCTTTAGGGACACCAAAATGGTGAGACAGTCCTGGAGAAAAGGCAACCAGGACATCTACAAAAACTGAAGTCACCTCCCCTTAAAACAAACAATGACAAAAAGATGCAGTTTTGGATACCGTTTAAATAGTAACTGTAAATCTAATGGCTTGATTGCCTAATACTATTATACTTTGGAGAAAAAGAAAACCCTTATAAATAAGCTAAAAATCTACTTTCAGGCAAATATATAACAAAGGAAGTATAAGCAAGATAAGATTTCACAAGTCTATAATAACTTCAAATCTAAAAGAAGCATGTCTTGTTATATTCAAATTATAACAGCCACACTTCTGGTCTGCTCTATTCAAAGCTATGCTGTGCACAACTACTCCTATACTGATAACTTCATCTCTCTGTTTAACTTGTACTTTATACTGTATTAGTGTACAATTAAAATTTTAAATATAGGGAGAATGAAAGTAACAAAAATGAAGAACAAGGCTGTTCAAAGTGTTGAGAAAAGCAACAGGAAATAAAAAGCTAAAGATGAACCTAGTTTTAAATAGGTGTTTCTGGCATGGTGCAAAATTATCTAAGTACACAACAGACTGCTGTAGTAGTGGTGATTAGAACATATTTGGAGGAAAAGGAAACAGAAGGGTGAGCTCAGAAAATGAAAGGTGATGGCAGCAGTGAATATTAGGGGTGTTATAAAATCAACACCCATTATGAGGCCTTTGAGAGTAAAAAGGAGCATAAAGGAGTCATTCCAAAAGCTAAGATACTTCTTGGCTGGTGGTCTCAGCATTCATCATTATAGGTGGCATATTAGAGTCTTACTTTTCCAGCCTACTTTTGCCACTCCTTCCCAGCATGTTATACTCTAAACTGCATATAAAAACTCTTTGCCATCCCCTCATTACCATGCCTTTGATTCCGTGTTGCTTTCCTTTGCCTGAAATATTTTTTCCTCTTTTCTCTGTGTAGTAAAATGAATCTTTAAGATCCAGCTCAAGTGTAATTTTTCTGGCCCCTGGACATCTGGTTGGTCCCTCTTCTGTGCTATTCTAACCAGCATGTGAATCTTCCTTAGAGCACACACTTCGCTGTTCTGTAATGATCTGTACGTGCCTGTGTCTGACACTAAGGCACCGTCCTGACAGCCTGCCACATCACTGCAGTGGCCTTCTAACTGGTGTCCTTGCCTTGGCTCTCCTATTCCTTTTAAGTGCTTCTCCTTGTAGGCTTCACAGTGTTCTTCCTAAAGTGCTGACTGGATCATATTATTCCTGCTGGAAACATTTTAATGGTTCCTTATGCTAAGGAACAGAAACAATATGATGGTCACATTTACACCCCAAGGATCATGGCAGAAAACCTTAACAAGGGCTTAAAAAGGAATAAACTTGGACAGAAAAGTAAGAGGAATCTAGCATCACCCTACAATAGGAATACACGTTTCACCCAATAAAACATATTTAACAATATAATGGAGAAAATTGTAATGGAAAAAAAAGCACAGAGGAAGTTCTAGATTGGAGTGATAATTACTGACTTACCACCCCAAATATGCCACTTATCCTTAATGGCACCACAGACAGTTGATTCAAGAAAGGAACAACAGTAAATTAACAGGATTATTGCATAGTGTATCTTCTTTTCTTCACTAGAGTGTTTTATAATTTAACTCACAAATCTTGAGGATTCAGTGAATGGCTAAAAGAAAATTTTTCTAGTGATAGAAATGAAGATGAGCTAGTTGAATTTTGTTGACAGCTAATTTATCTGGAGAGTGTGAGAGTATATTAAGAGAGTGTAAGATTGCTCATCATTGTAGTTTGAGATTTCACAGAATCTTGCTCCTAAGCACTGAAGTGGATACTGAGAATACAGTTATGCAAGCATCAAAACGTCATGAAAAAGCCTAACACAAAACAGATCCTAACTCAAAATACTGCCTCTGACGCACAAAAATAAAACCTTTTAAATTATTTTTGCATATTTCAATATAATTATTGTGATCCAGACAAACCTAAAATGAAAGAGTTAGATATGTGACCTTTCACATTCTAAGGGCTTATGTGAAGAAAAGATTGAAGTACAAAAATTTTAACTTACTCTTAAACAAGGTAAATTATGCCTCATAAAGGTTTTCTTGCCCTCCTAATGTGAAATTCCCAAAGTACCCACCAAGCGAGTCCAGGACCTACCGTGCTGCTCGTCAGCCTATTTGTATAGGCAGTGATGACACCACACTTGCTCCCAGTAAACAGCTGGCAACCATCAGGGACCCAAGCACAACTAGTCACCTTTGAAAAAGGATGGAGTCAAAGAGTATCATGTTTAAAAGCATAAAATGCTTCTCTGACCACTCTTTAACAAATACATAATCACAATATGTAAGGTAAATTGTTAACCTGAAATAATTAGAATGGTGTCGGATATAATAGAGCCAGGTGTCTTAAAAGTTGTTTTCAAATTAAAAGATATTGCACTGCATTGTCCATGATTTTACGTTTCTCTGTACACACATATACAGCTATTTGCTCCTTAGAAATTTAAGCAAAGTGATCCAAATTGACTAGATCCAAGGTTAAGTATGTGCATGATATATGTGTATGTGGGAATGTTTCACACATTTGCCTGATTTTAATTTTTTTTCTGTTTTTGGTGGGAAAACCAGGTAAACAGAGATATTGTTTCTAACAGTTCTAAACATTGTTAAATAGAAGGAAAGACAAATGTGGAGAAAAAGCTGGGATTGTTCCCTTGGGATTATAAGCCTTTCAGTCCTATCCATGGAGGCACTCTTCAAGGTCAGTTCAACTCTGCTTGGCCTGATGAGTCTTCCCCTGGGTACTAGCTGACCCCCAGGGCCACGTGCATGGCAACTGTTGCCCCTGCCCTGCCTCCTTGCACTCCTCCTTTCTGCCTCCCCACACAGCAGTCCCCACTGAGAAGACAGGGTCAGCCGTGGACCTCTGCCCCTTCCTCCTTTGGGCCTCAAAGTGTCTTGTAGCTTCTCCTGATTTAAAGGAGGAAGTTTCTCTGTTTTCAAAGGCCAGTCCCACCCCACTTCCAATGTCCCTTAGAATCCTTGTCCTCTCTCAGAATTCCAGTCTTTTGCTGACGTCTTCCCTTGGACCTACAAATATGCCAAGATAATGCTGCCTTAAAAACGGACTTTCTTTGGTTCTGGCTCGACTTAACTCCTAACTTAGGTCCAGTGGATCCAATTTTATTTCTGAGTTTCTTTATAGTCCCAACTATGGTAAGGATTGAAATTTTTTAACTTTTATTCTTTCTTAGAGGTCTTCCAAAGAACAGAGAAAATGTACCTATTTTTCATATATAGGAAAAATTATTGTGTCTACTGAACTCTTTTATAAACCTAAGTTACATTACATGATTTTAATAATCTTGTTTGTCCTCTACCTTGAAGTAATTTTCTATTATTCTAGGAATCATTTCATCACTATTCATCAATCACTCACAACTATGCTAAAACAAAACAAACAAAATAATAAAATGGAAGAATGATAGATATCCTGGAAGGATGATGTAATATGTGAAATAAACCATCATTTTTTGTTTTCTTATTGCTTTGTCTAAAGAACATTGTCATGTTTCAAGAAAGTATAAAAGAGGGCTGCAGACACCATTTCTGTAGTCTGTTTTCAGGTTCATTGAACACAGCTGGGAATTCAGAATTTTTCATTCTCTACTGATAACAGAAAAGAGAATAAATTAAGGAGGTCAATCAGAAGGTGTAGGTGAAGAGACAGGACTCGAATCTCTAATGATGATGATAGAATTCAACATGTAAGTGAAATATGTAATATGGAAAGTGTAAGTGTTCCTATGATAATACCCTAGATGTATTTTCTCAAACTAAAGAACTAATGAGTGAAGTACACATTCCTAAGGCTGAAAATGAAATATGCTGCTCTCATCCCGCTTGACCAAAACTACTTTATCACACAGTACTTTGCTTAAAAAATCTGGACTACTCTGTTGTGCTTAAGATTTATGAGAGAATTCCTTAATCTTTTATGATGTTTGTGTGTGAAACTTTAGCAAATGATAGAAATAATTTTGTAATGCTTAAATTCTTATTAAATTTCTAATAAGGTTGCTTTTCACTGCCTTTCATTCTTACTTTTCTTAGTTTAGGATAAGCCAGATAACTGTTCTCCTTTATCTCACTGCCAAAAATTTTTACAAAGTAGCATACTCTGTTTTTAAAGTGCTCATGGAATGGGGATACATGTTAGAACACATGAATAGGCAGCAGATGTTACACAGGTAATGAAGGTCAGAAAATAGTAAAAGAAATTCCTATGGAAAGATAGTCAAAGAAATAGGTTTAACATACAACTTAGTTCCAGAAAAAGTTGTGGCAGTATTGTGCGTGTGTGCATGCGTATGGTGTTTAATAGCTTACAAAGTACTTGCACAAACAGTGGGTAAATTTTACCAAATCCCTGAGAAAGAGTAGTGAGGGTGCTGTTATCCCAGCTTTATAGAGGAGGAAAGAAACTCTTGTGTGGTGAGATCAGGTAACTTGTCAAAGGCTACACAGTAAATCACTAACACAAATTACAGGCTTTCATTAGGTTGGGTGCTCCTTCTGCCACGTGATGCCTGATTATACAGTCCACTCAGGAAAATCCAGGTGTAGAAGATGGCACTCTGGCTATAGAAAATTATGTAGTGACAAAGGGCAAGTTAACAGGGCTGATTTTATTCAAACACGAGGCCGTTAGCTGCTGCTGAGTAAGAGATTATGGTAACTGTCTCAGTAAGACCTTGAGCAGAAGACTGGGGACACTGTCTAAACAGTGGTAGTTGGGAAGTCTGTAAGCATTGTAAACCAGGCACGTGTCCAGCATAAGCAGCTCACCTCGACTAAATGCAGTTTACCTGATATTGCTGTGAACTTTGTATAAAGTTTATTGGAGGCTCGCTTTGTTTACTCTTCAGCCTTAAAATGTTATCAGCATATCCCCAGCTCAGGATGGCTGACCACTGAATGTCTGTACTGTTCATGCTTCTCACACCTCGAGAAGGAGAAATGAAAGCATCAGACTGCTGCAGCCCAAGTGTTATTTGACAGCCTTCAAAAATGGCTGGCTAACAGCAGAGGTTTACATAGCAGAACACATATCATTCTAGTGCAAAATCATCATTATATCCATAAGATGGACTGATTTACATAGTTTTATTCCTTTAATGCTAATGGGATTCTAAGGATGGAACTGCATTCTTTTTCACTGGCAGTGCTTTGGTTGGGATTTTATTTAAAACTAAAATTTCTGATAAGAAATTTTTATAAAAGACAGTGATAGTCAAGCTTAGTCTATTCATGTTTTGCAACACCCTATTTTTAAAAATAAATGTGAACCAGATACCATTTAAATAACTTTTTAGATAGACCCTGCAGAAAAACCCAAATGGACAATTATTAAAGTGAACATAGAGAAGTGGCACCCACCCTGAGATGGGAAAACTCAACAGGTTCACCTGTAAGGACTGCACATGGCAGACCTTCATCTAGTAAATGTCAGTTCTTTTCTCTTTGCCTCTGTCTTTTTTACATAGTATTATGTCCTTTTGGGATAAAGATTTGGACATTTGACATCCCCTTTAGGTACTGATCTATGCCTGAAGATAGCTATGCAGCATACATGCTCTAACTGGTGGGCACTTCGTGCTTGGCACACTTTAAACTCCACAAGAGAGAGAGACTGCTTTATTTATTCCAGTATCTAGCATAATACCCAGCAAATAGAGGAATAAAACAAATAAATATTTGTTGAATGAATCAACAGCACATTGAACATGAAATTCACAAATCTACTTTTGTTGAGTATAATACTAAATGTTGACATCAGTTTTTTAATAAAGGAAATGGGATATACTCACTAAATAAAAGCTCCTCTAAGTATTAGCTTTTAGGGAAAGGCATTATATTTCATGAGTCTCAGGAGTTCTTAAATTCTACCAATAATGACTGGCATGTGGCAGATGCTCAATCAACCAAGTGCTCCATGAACCAAATAAAGTTAGTAATTGTTCCCAGTTTCTCATAACAGCCATACAAGATGTACCATTTTCTTTGAACAAAACGAACTTCTCTTTTACTCTTAAAGACAGTGGATCTTAAACAGGAGTTTGCAAGAAAATTGCTGTTTCTGTATGTGTAGGCTTGGACTCAAGCCCCAGAAATTCTGGTGTAGTGTATCTCAAATGGGACCCAAGCAAGTGTATTTTGAAAAAGAGCACCTCAGGCAATTCCAAGGCACAGTCAGTTCTAAGTAATTGGCGTATACTGGATTTAAGATAATCGAAACCACTTCAGTTCAGTTGTTACATTGTACTACACACTTATAATTGGCAAAAATACACTTATTTGTTCAGCATTTTGCTGCAGTGAATACATGACCTTTCACCTGCAAGCTGCACTCTTCGTTTGTCCCTGCCAGGTTCCACAGAATACCTATGTGGACTGCCATGTGCTGGGTACAGAGTGAACACTCATGTGGTCCCTGACTCCAGCATGCTGACAGCCAGTCCGATGGACATTTACTGAGCACTTAGAATGCATCTGGCACTGTGCTAATCATTCCCTATATGGTTTCATTTAATCCTTACAGTAAGTTACTCTGTGAGGTGAATCCTTTTGTTATTTTCATTTTATAGACCAAGAGCCAGGGTCTGGAAGGTGTAATTTCCTCAAGCTCACACAACTATTAAGTAGCTAAGCTGGGATGCAAATTCAGGCATTGGGCCTCCCAAGGCCATCACTGTGGTATTACACCACTTTCCTGGACATAGCAAGATTCTGACAAATCCCAAATACATTCCACAAGGAAATAAAAATTAATTTGAATGAATGCCATTAAGGGAACACTAAGGGCTTGTGACTGTAGTGGCACAAATAAGATAGGCTGACAATTATATTTGACATTTAAGACTCATCATGCTAAGTGATAATACCTTTCTTTTATGCTCAACTGAAATAAACTTCAATCTCCTCTTCATTAATTTCTTAAAGGTAAATTTATTCACACATTTTACTACTATAACTAGTATGAATAGTCAATTACTTGTGACATACCTTACAATTAATTACAATATACTAGTGATAGTAAACCACTTATGCCACAGCAACTATGATTAAACAGATTTACCTTATCCTATAAATTCACTAAACTTGGATAAAATGGTATGCAGACTCTTTCACTTCTACAACTATAAATGCAATTACTTATTTCATGGTGGAGTTAAAAGTCGGAGGAACTGTGCAGTCTTGCCAGCACACTTCATTTCTTCGAGTGACTGATGTTTGGCAGTACTGGTATCCTCGTACTGCAGGGCCATGTGCGGTGAAGGCTATATGGGTGGTGAGGAATGCAGTGCACAGAAAGGTATGCTAAACACTAACAGTGTGGACTGCTAGGGGCATCTAGGTAGCATCCTGGCTTGCAGACAAATTGGCACACACCTGATGTGAACAGGTGAGTGCCCCTAGTCATTCATGTTAGTGCCCAAAGCTCATGCCATTAAGTAGGGAGACTTCTTCTGCACTTAAGTGAAATGGTCATTTTGGAAGATCTGAGGGATTATTTGAGTGGAACATGCCCCTCGTTTTCCACTGTGTAGGTGTTTAGAAACAGGAAGCGGGCCTCTGCTGCACTCTTCTTCCATGTGCTGCTTTTCATGAGTCAGTACGTAAAAAGTGAGAAAAAGATTGTTTTCCAGGCACATGTATTTTTAAAACCAGTTTTCAGGGCTGTCATGATGTCCTTGTTTTGTCTGTTTTAATTTCATGACTACATATTCTAAAGTACTAGATTTGCTGGTCAAATAAATCTGTCTATTCTGGGATTCAAGAGCCTCAAAGTATACATTTCTATAAAACTGATAATGCTTTCATCTTGTGAGCATAATCATTTACTCTTATCTCCTTTGATGACTCCTCTCATCTGCATGCAATTCCCATTTTTTTCATGTATTATGTTTTAATTCCTACTTTGCACTAAATAACTACAAATTTGAGCAAGAGTTTTCCACCAAGGACTTAGAAAACTTAGAAATAAAACAAAATACCATCACAGATAAGATGGAAACATTCAACTCTCATGCAGGATATACCTAGAATAATTTTCATTATGTTTTATTTTACCTTGTTCTTTGCTGTATGTCATTAGAAGACAGAAATTTTGGGACAAACCACAGATTGCTCTGGTGGGCAGAGCCTGGAGAGAACCAAATCTTTCTCCATGGGGCTGGCTGAAGCAGACCACAGGTACTGGAGCACTTGGGGAACCCACATACTCCCCCCACTTCAAGCCTTTTATCCATGACAAAGGACTCTAAAACCGAGGAAAGGAAAAAAACATGATTTTTCTAAAAGAAGGTAGTAAACACAGACTTACTTGTAATTTAACTTCTAAACAAAGAGAAAGAAACCTGATTATAAGCCCTTTGTGGGCGAGAATTATTTAATACTTGTTTATTTCCCCCATGCTTAGCATATAGAAATACAAGTTTCTTGTTACTGGACACACAGATGAACAGGACAAAGCCCCAGTCCCCCTGGCACTGCATTATACTTGTGATGGGTGCAGAAATGAAATAAACAAATACATATGCAACATGTCAGGTGGTAAAAGTGCTCTGAAGAAAAACAATGGGGAGGAAGACTGAGAACCATGGAGCTGTTATTTTAGGCATGTGGATGAGGGCAGACCCTGAGGAGGAGTGGGGTGAGGGCAGACCGTGAGGGGGAGTGGGGTGAGGGCAGACCCTGAGGAGGAGTGGGGTGAGGGCAGACTGTGAGGGGGAGTGGGGTGAGGGCAGACCGTGAGGGGGAGTGGGGTGAGGGCAGACCGTGAGGGGGAGTGGGGTGAGGGCAGACTGTGAGGGGGAGTGGGGTGAGGGCAGACTCCCTTAGCAGATGGCATCCAAGTAGAGACCTGAATGGCATGAGAGAGGAACCTGAGGCTGTATTTGGGAACAGTCATTCCAGTTGGAAAGAACAGCGAATGTGAAGGCCCTGAGGTGAGGATGAGGCAGGTGAGTACCACATCCCCACTGCAAGCAGATAGGCTGCTCAGATCATTTATATATAGCATTTAAAACAGGTTATTTTTTTGAAATAAGAATAGTGGTGAATTTAATAGCACTTACTACTTTTCAGGGATGTGATATTAAGTTATTTTGATATGTTAAAATAGTAGATTCTAATTAAAATAATGACTGGTAATAATGGCTAAAATGTTTTGTGGGTCTTCAAAATCTTGAGTTAAATTGACAAGTAAACAAATATAGCTTTCAACTATAAAACACAACATTGCTGATCTGATTTCAACAAAACCACATTGTCTAGCATACTGACGTTTTAAATTTGAGTTTTACTAATTATATAACTTCGCTTGTATTTAAGATGCAAATTTGAAACGTAAGCTATAAGCACAAGTATTTTACATTTAATATTCTATTTGTGTTTTACATTTAGTGTACTTAAGTAATATTATTATATAAACTGATTGTGAAAACCTTCGTCTCTGAAGTGGAATCACAGATGAGGGCAGAGATGCGCTGCTGCTTTGCTTCTCTCGGAGGTCCTTGCTGGGATCCCCTCTGCAAACTTCTCTACCATTTTACACTTCATGGTCTCCCATCTTATGTTGCTTTTATAATGAACAATTTAGTTGGATACCAGAATTCATCTTACTCTTAAGGTTTGGTTTGCTTTACTTTTTCATTTCAAAGTAAAAGTTATACCTATTCCTATTTTAAGGGGCAAAACAGTGCAATGCTTTTTATCATTACAATCTGGGGAGGCCGAAGAAATATGTAAGGTTTCCCCTTAACTGTAAGCCACAACATTCACACTTCTGGGCAGGGCTTTTGTTGAAGATGATAACCAGGACCAAGCTCTGCATGTCTGCACTGGGATACCCACACTCAGACTTTATTACCACTAACACAGCATTGGCTACACACAGAACATTACCATCAGCTGATGTGTCTGTGCTCATTGGCTGGTGCCTACTCTCAGTCTGGGACCAGGCTTTCATCTTAGTGTCCCTAAGCCTGGGAGAGGGCCTGACATTTCAGGAGTTGAATCAGTTTTTGCTTTCTATTGAAATTCGAATGACATACCGGATAGGTAATTTCTTTGACTTGTTCTCGAGTTTCTCTGAAAGCAAACTGCACTAACAACCCCACAGCAGCAGGGAGCTCTCCTTCAATATTGAGCCTGGATCCAGGTCTGCTCACATGGGCTGACTGGAAGAGCTGACGAGGGGTCTGGCCATAGGTTTTTATCATGGTTTCTAGAGCTCGTCTCTGAACTGGATCTTCCACTGCAGAGACATCCATTCCAAAATATGTCTGAAGAGTAAAAGAGAACAAGAGATAGGTAAAAAGGAAGGCTTGGCAATAACAACAAAGGGAAAAACAACTAGTTTTGTTCTCTAGGCAATGGTTTACTCTGCTCTATTTCCAATGGAAGTGACTTTTAAATGTTTTTAATCAGGTTAGTAATCATCAATGGTCTCACTGAGATCAGAATAGGAGTAGCATTCAGTGATGTTTCTGAATGGGTGAATGAATATAGTGTTATTTGATTGGTGCTAATGTTTATAAAATTGATTTTTAATTTAAGAGCAGAGAATATCATATGAGACTTTGTGTGCCTGCAGAGCAAAAGAAATCATAAACAAAATGAAAAAGCAAACTATGAATGGGAGAAAAATATTTGCAAATCATATATCTGTAAGGGGTTAATATCTAAAATATGTAAGAGTTCAACAACAAAAAATTTAAAAATCCAATTAAAAAATGGGCAGAGAAGACTTGAATAGACGTTTTTCCAAAGAAGACATACAGGTACATGAAAAGATGCTCAATATCATTAATCATTAGGGAAATGCAAGTCAAAACAATGGGATTATCACACCACATCTGTTAGAATGTCTAATGTCAAATGACAAGAAATAACTAGGTTGGTGAGGATGTGGAGAAAAGGGAACCTATGTGTACTGTTGGTGGAAATGTAAATTGGTGCAACCCCAATGGAAAATAGTATGGAGTTTCCTCAAAAAATTAAAAATAGAATTACCATATGATCCAGTAATTCCATTTCTGTGTATTTATTACAAAAATGAAAACACTAATTTGAAAAGATATATGCATCCTGTTTATTGTAGCATTGGTTGCAATAGCCAAGATATGGAAACAACCTAAGTGTCTGTTGATGGATGAATGGATAAAGAAAATGTGGGGTGTGTGTGGCACACACATACACACACACACACATGCACAATGTATAAAAAAATGAAATCTTGTAACAACATGATGGACTTTGAGGGCATTATACTAAGTGAAATAAGTCAGGTAGAGAAAGACAAATACTGTCTGATCTCACTTATATGTGGAATCTAAAGAAACAAGAAAAACAAGCTTATAGATACACAGAACAGATTGGTGGTTACCAAAGGGACAGTGTAGGGGATGAGGAAAATAGATGAAGGGGGTCAAAAGGCACAAATTTCCAGTTATGAAATAAATTAATCTGGAGTATGTAATGTTTTCCATTGTGTATCTGTTAAGTTGCTAACAGAGTAAATGTTAAAAGACCTCATCACAGGGAAAAAAATTTGTAACTATGTATGGTGACAGATGTTAACTGGACCTACTGTGATCATTTTGCAATCATTATGTTGTACACTGGAAACTGATTAAAATGCTATACGTCAATTACATGTTAATCATTATGTTGTACACTGGAAACTGATTAAAATGCTATATGTCAATTACATCTAAATTAAAAAAAAGAAAAACCAAATGAGGTTTTTCTTTAGTCTTGTCTTTCAGAGAGGATTGATGAAAAAATAACCAAGATTTTCAATTAAGTCTACCTAAAATAACTCAGCTTCTACAGGCAGATTACTAGGTGGCTGTAATTTTTCTGTAGCTGCCTGTCAGATATAGGTCATAAAGCTAGAGTCAAGGTGTTAGTCAACATCATTTCAGGGGGTCAACCAAATTGAGAGAGACAATAGAAATTTCATCTGTATGGTCATGCAGAGTCTGAAGAAAAGTATTTTCTTCAATTTGTAAAAATGAGGACTAGAAGTTCAAAGCCATTTGTATTTGCCTGAAATTATGTGATATCCAAATGCTCTTTTGTTCTTTGACATAAATACACTCAAAGAGTCTGATTTCTCTCTCTTAAGACACAGTGGCTGGTTTCACAGGACAACCTTTTGTTGTTCACTCAGATTTGCCATCTTGAAGATGCCTACAACTATCAACTAGTGAAGCACATTTTCTTACATATATAGACAGTAAGGAACCTAGATTTCTGTATGTTTATATCTTTCCTCTTTTCTGGGTTGAAGAATCAGGAATCTGCATACTAGTATCAAAACTCAAGCAAAGTCTGTCTGATTTCCATCCTGTAAGCTCAAGAGGAACACCTCATGCTTATTTATCTGTGGAGGGGATAAATTTAATTTTGACTTCCTCTCTGTGTTTGCTTGGCAAGTTTTCACATATATTGCTGAAAGTGACTAGAAGTTGGCAGTGAGAAGGCTAAGCTATCGCTTTATGTTAGCCTCCCTGGGCCAACTTGGCAGCCTGTCAATGGAGGCAAAAGGCCAGCTTCACCTCCTGTGCAGGAGGCAGAAGACTGCGTGGAAAACCAAGTCAACATATTCCACATTTGCCAAAACACTGCAGAGAGGTTGGCACAATTCATGTCCAGGTGAATGGTGTCTTCCATGCTATCACCTCTCTAGGACTTGAAGCTAAAGAGAAAGGAGGCTCACAGTAATAATCAAACTGGAAGAGGAGTAAAAATTCAGGATTTGCTGTTGTCCTTTCCTTTCTTCCCTAGTGTTGGTATATAGAAAAGACTTCATGAACAATACTAAATTATTGAAAAAGTGATTTGCCCAAAATGATATATAGGAAAAGTCAAAAATGAAATTAAGATACAATATTGGTAGGTAGTACAAGAGAGAATTATTGGGTTCTAATCTGAAAGCAGCAGTGAAAATTCCAGGCTCTTTAATGCAAAGGGTGTGATTACACTTTTCTCCTTTGCGTTGTCATCCCTTAGAATCAGCTGAGGAGCAATGTGTTTGCTTTTGTATTTCTAAAGCCAGCAGGCGGAAGCTGGGTACAGATCTGCCATGCTTTGTGCATACCCACTTGTACAATTTAGCTTTTAGCATTTAATCAGTCATAGCAAATTTCATTTATACATCTAGGTATAACAGTTCTATAAATGCCAAAATAACATTTCTAAGATTCTTCAGAAGTTAAATAGTCTCCAACACTACTACTCTCACCACCACGGCCACAGGGATTGAATACTTATTATTAGGCTTATCTAAGTAGGGACATTCTTATGGCTGCTTGACTTAATATACTCAAAAATTCAAATGAAGGTTGAAATAATCCTCTAGTCAAGACTTTAAAAAATTTGTCTTAAAACAGGGCTTCTTTATATTCTGTGGTATCAGTTTCTAACTGAACCCTATATATTAGTGAGTGATGAATTAATATCAAAGGCATTTCTACATTCTTTTCAAAAGGCTAACATTTATTTGTACTTAATTGTATGGCAGACATTATCCTATGTGAATTTCCTTCCTTATTTATGAGGCTGATGCTATTGTTCACACTTTATAAATTTGTACATTTGGGTACAGACAAGTTAAGCTATTTTCCCAGAGTTATGCAGCGAGTGACAGAATCACAGAGGATGTGAAACTCAGTTCTTAATTCAGAGACTGTATACTTAACCACTACACTTTGTTTTGCCTCATGAACTGAACTTAATTAAATTCCTACAACGATATAAACACTATCCTTTTTAAAGCTCTGAAGTCCCAAAGAATTAGTGAAAAAAGTTCCAGTAAGATGAAACTTATGTGGTGTATTTCAGCATGTATATACTTTTAATGTGAATTTTATATGATAATTGAAATGATGTGCCAGGATTATAGGCATAGAGTATATTGAGTTAATGTCAAATTCCTAATTGCTTGTAAGGTTATATTTTAGATCAAATTTGAATGAAATTCAAACATTATACCTTAAGCCTTGCCTTTATTTCATACTACTCTTGCGTATAAAATTATTAAGTGCCAAACTGTATTATTCCCTTTTCAGAACACTTTGCCATAGCATTTATCTTCTACTGGCATCATTGATAAATCTGTCTTATTTCCAAATTTAAGGAGTTTAATTTTTTATTATCTCAGAGATACTTAAAATAATTACTGAGCAAAATGAACCAAATAGATTTTTATTTAAAATCACTATTCAGGAATATAGATCTTTAGCATAAATAAGCCAAGATACAGAGTGCAATAGAGTAGGTTTGTGTGCATTTTAGCTGTATCTGTTATAAACACTTGATGAATCTACCTACACAGAAAATTACAGCTGGAAGGGAAGTCCAAGATCCATCTAATGCTACTTACTAATTTTAAAGTTAAGAAAATAAAGAGACTATGTGTCTTATGCAGTGGATTAATTATTAATCTGTTCTACTTGTCTTTGAGTAGCAACACCAGGAAATAACTTTCTCCCCATTTTTACCTTTTTAACCTCTCATTCCTTGAGTAATTTCCTGTTTGAGGCCTCATTCAGACTCTACAAGCAGGCCCAATGCCCCAATTTTCCATCTAGCCCTACTTTCCCTATTCGAATCTTATTCACCTTTCCCCCGCCTGAAAGCCTAGCAAAATAAATGTTTCTTGAACAGATAAGCTTTTTTTAAAGGAACATCAAGAAGTGTGTGAAAGTGAAAAGTTCCACTTCTAAGAAATTTTCTTAAGAAGGTAAAGCTGAACATGAAGAAATAACCTTAGGAATATTAATTTAAATAGCAAATAAAAACTAAATAACCAACAACAGGGAACTAGTTAAATAAATTAAGGAATTGGGAATACTAAGCAGTACTGTTATATGAATGGAGTCCTACAGTTATATGAATGGAATGATATATACATATAGAAAAAAGTCTAGAAGGTGGTTTTGGTTTTGGTATTTATCTCTGGATGGTGATATCAAAGTTAGTTTTAAAATTTCCTCCTTTTGCAGTCTGTATCTTACATATTTTTCTAACAAGGCACAAATACTATTTCTGCCATAAGGAAAAATAATGACATTTTAAGACAGATCATGTATATACGATAGTGTGCAGAAAACCTCAACTGCTTTCCTTGGAATGGGCTTCTTGCAAGGTTGGCCCTCAGCTGGTATCTGAGGCATGGATTTCAGGAGGGTTCCCACCACCCCATAACTGATAAGAGTGGCTCACTGTGCCTAAACTCTTTGTACAAACAATCTGGTTTATGCTGAACACCTGCTTTCCTTCTGGAGTCTGGAATTTTAGTATATGGGAGTGAGAGGGTCCCTACATGACCAGCTCCCAGTAAAAGCCCTGGGCACTGAATCTCTAATGAGCTTCCTTAGTAGGCAACATCACACATATCAAAATTTGTTGATGGAGGAAGTGTTTTCTTTGTGATTCACGGGGAGAAGACTCTTGGAGGCCTGTGCCTGGTTTCCTCCAGCTTTGCGCATGCTTCTTTTCCTTTTGCTGATTTTGCTTGGTATTTTTCATTGTAATAAACCTCAATTGTAAGTATGACTTATATTCTGAGTCCTTAAGTCCTCATCCAATCTGAGGGTGATCTTGGGGAACCTCCTACAGACAATATCTTAGTTATTTTTAAAGAGGTGAAATATAAAATCTGAAAAATCTTGGTAACAGTTTAGTGTCATTGCCAATTTTCTTTGATAACATGGTGTTTTAAAGAAACAGCATAACAGCTAGCCTTTTATTCAGGTTCTATCTTCAAAAATGCAGATTTTTGAAGAGTCACTTACAGCAGGGTGAAAAACATTGATGGCTTGAACAGAAGCCTTCCCTTTTTGCTTATACCCGAATACTAAGTCAATCCACTGACAGATGTTCTGGGACACGTAGTCAGACTCTAGAGCCTGTCTATGGATGAGGATAAAAAGTCGAGGATCATTACGTGCCCAAGGGGGAAGGTTGACGTGATTAACCCGTTCACCATTCTGACGCACACCAAAATCAAAACCTAAAAGAGAAGATTAATATTAATGCTTATCTCCACAAAAGCATGCTTCATTTGTTCCACTGAGCAGGACTTAAGAATTCACAGAAATAGCCATTGTGTGCTATCACCAGGACAAGGAGTGCAAAGAAGACAGTACACTGTTGTTCATCTACTTACTTACCTGATAATACATGGATTAATGCTATCCTCATTAAATGTGAGATCTTTCAACTTTATCCTTCTACTACTTTATATCACATTGGAAAAAAAGGAAGAAAATCATTATCTGCTAATTTCATATCAAATCTTCAAATACAGTTTAGTGCTTAAATATCTATTCGATTGTAAATGTGATTAAAATAAAAGTGAGGCTTTGGATAAGCAGTTCTGAATTACTGGTGTTAATGTTATACTAACTTAGCATTTATATTTATATTTAGTAAATGTCAGCATTCTTTAGTTTAAAAAACCCAAAGTATACACATTCCTAAAATGAACTCAGTCTATTAATTTTATGGTATGTCTATAGGTCTGTTCTAACCATATTTCTACTAAGCATTTCTGTGGACAACAAAATTAGCCCAACACATTGAATAAGAGGGCTCTTGTGTGATGTAAATGAGCTCTTATCTAATTGTCTCATTAGTCTGCTAGTGTAAACAAAACCTCAGATGTGTTTATTTTAAAAAATTGTCATAAAAGAAATGCTACCTTTGAACATTTGAACCTTTCATGGACAGAAGTCTAAACACCATAATCAGAATAAAGATGGAAAAGGACCTCATAAATGCTGATTACGTGCCATATAAAATTAACCTGCTGTCTGTTTACTTCTTGATCTCATAAAAACAAAAAGAGCTTCACTAATTTTGGAAGTATTTTGAAATGACATGATGTGAAATAGAAACCAAGGGCTTATGTAAAGTTAACATGGGGTGGGGTGGGAGTCATCATATAAAGCTCAGTAGTCACCCTACAGCCCACTGCAGGGTGACTTAGGATGGACTGCTGAGTACCTACAGAACTCTGCATGTAGCTTTGGGACAAGCAGCAAAAATTTACAGATTTTACACTAGTGGATGAGGCAGCTAAGGCCCAAGCTGGGGAAGGACTGAGAAACAGGGCATCTCAAATTATTCGTAACTCAAATTACTTCCAACTTTCAGGTGATCTGAGGATACATCACAGAGGTAGACACTCCACCCAGAGCAGATGACTGAGAGGCCTAGAGGAATGCTGTAGGAAATGACATGGTGTACACTGTAGTTACCCAAAATGGCTATGATAATACTTGCTGTCCCACATGCTCGTCTCGCTACTAGCCTATCCATCAAGTGGCAAAATCTCTGCTCCTTCCTTTTGAACGTGTCAGGCACTTGTGACTGTCTCACAAACAGAACGCAGTGGAAAGACCACTGTGTGTCCTCCAAGTGTAGGCTGGAAAAGCCCGTGCAGCTTTTGCTCATCTCTCTCAGGACACTCACCTTTGGAACACTGAGTTGCCAAGTAGGATGTCTGAGGCCACCATGCTGTGAGGAGGCCCAAACTAGTCCACGTGGAGAGACCACATGGAGATGCACTGACACTACATGAGGAGAGAGAAATGCCCACCAGCCTCAGCTGCTCTGATCCCATGGCTGTTCCAGCTCCAGCCAATCTGAATGCAATTGCACAAGAGACCCTGAGCCAAAACCACAAAAAGCACCTGGCTGAGTTCTTCCTAAATTTCTGACCTGCAAAAACTGTAATAATAAATTTATCCTTGTTTTTGGGTTGTTTGTCATGCAGCCATAGATAACTGGAACAAATATTAAGAAACCATGGCAGGGAACACAAGCAGTACATTTAAATATGAATCTCAAATTGAAAGTCACAAGGCAGGTACCCTAAATGGAAGGTGCTAATATTTGACTGAGGCATTTCTCCCTGGGGCAACACTATAAAACATATTCCACATAATTAGCAGCATGGATTTATTAATGATTCTCCAAACAACTCCAAAGAGGCCAGTTAATATAGAATAAAATTCTAAGGTAATTTGTCCAACACTAACTTCTCTAGAGATATAATTCTCAGTTTCATATATTCCTTACAGGGTACATAAAATATGAAATTACATACTGTAGGAAAATGACCTGAAGCATTACTAAAGAACAGGTAAGGTTGGCTAATAAAGTTGGTCATGGGCATCACAGAAAATTTGATTTTATCTCCTAGCATCCCTTTCTGTTATTAGATAATTCTGGTTAGAATGTTTTCCTGACTCAATCATTCTTCATAACACTGAGATTTTGGTTAATTTACACTGTGCTTTGATAAATTTCATGATTAATTTTTTTTGTTGTAATGAGCATATTATAACTTTTGTAATCAGAAAAAGAATAGAGCAATTTGTGTAACAAAATTAAAATACATGTTTACAAATACTTTTAATAGCTAAAAGTTATAGTTTCCCAACATGTTTAGTCCTAATACTTAAAATCCTCAAGGTCACTTGGAAATAAAACTTGGAAATGTTTTATGATATGGCTATGATAATACTTGCTGTCCCGCATACTCGTCTCGCTACTAGCCCATCCATCAAGTGGCAGAATCTCTGCTCCTTCCTTTTGAATGTGTCAGGCACTTGTGACTGTCTCACAAACAGAACGCAGTGGAAAGACCACCGTGTGTCCTCCAAGTGTAGGCTAGAAAAGCCTGTGCAGCTTTTGCTCATCTCTCTCGGGACATGATTCTCCAAACAACTCCAGAGAGGCCAGTTAATGTAGAGTAAAATTCTAAAGTAATTTGTCCAACACTAACTTCTCTAGAGATATAATTCTCAGTTTCATATATTCCTACAGGATACATAAAATATGAAATATGAAATTTATTCTTACAGGGTACATAAAATATGAAATTACATACTGTAGTAGACTCAAATTTAAGGACTTAAATTATAAAATAAGTACAAACCCTCAGAAATAAAAATTAGAAATGATTTACTGCTATACCTTCACGGTTAACTAAGAACTCTGGAAGGTAGAAAAACTCTGGGATAAGTTCCTTCACATCAGTCATGGATTCAAAAGATGAGAGGCGCCAAGTTGTATTTGTAGAATGAAAAGTTCTGTCTGGAATGTCAAAACTTTGATCTATAAAAACATACAAATAATATAATTAAGACACAAACACCTGATTCCCTTTAAAGCCCATACTGTTACTTTAAAAGACTAAAATGACATTCATTTTGTTTATCCATAGTTTAAAAGAGGTCATGTTCTTGAAAATAAAAATTTCTATACATGATTTGGGACAAAATTATTTTAAATCTGTATTATGTTCTCATAATAGATGAATTTATATTGATTGGTTACTTTCTGTCTGTCCAAGTAAAATGAGAATTCCATAAAAGAAGGGAATCACCCACACATAACACATTCTAGGTACTTGATAATGATATATTTATCACTGAATGAACGAATGAGTGAATGAGGTAATAAAGAAGGAAAATTGAAGTTCAGGTAAGTAAGATAGTTTTTTCCCCCATTGAAAAGCAAAATTATTCCTTTGCCTCTAATTGTTAAGACTACATTTTCTTCTTTCTTTTCTTTTTTTGGGGGAGAAGGCACTGCTTGTTAAGTGTTCTAACTCTAAGCTAAAGAATTCAGTAAAATTTCCTATAAATGAAAACAAAGCTAAGCATATTCACTATCTTAAGTTTTTCTGGTGTGGACTATTAATAAGCACAAACTAAGTTTTGACCCTGTCACTTTTCTGTCAACAGTTATCACACTTTCTAGCCACAGGGCAGGCCTAGAATATTAAATGGTATCTGAGGGCTGGCCCCTGAAAACAGCAGTGTGGATGCTTTTTAGGAGCTATGTTGCACCATCTAAAGCTCCTCTGAACTTGCTGAAATTTGAACACATCTTCTTCTTTGTAGAATGTCACCAACTAATCTCAGTATCACGCAAGGCACTTAAAAAATATATGCTAAATTTCTTCCCCAAGCCTGAGCTGCTCTGCCAAACAACGTTTTCTATTACTTTTATTAGTTTCTTATATATTCTGTTGAGTCAGTTAGCATTGGCTGGTCACTAAATAAGAGGAAATAAATTAGTTTTATAAATATGTCTTTTTTCTCAGAAAGTAGAGAGGGCCACCTAAAGAGATATTTACTAACTCACTGACGAGAAAAAGTTATCAATTTAAATGGGATCCAGAAAAATTGAAGGTAATTCTGTAAGGCTATGGTTGGAGTAACTATACCTAGAGTAGAGACTATGGAACTGTGGAATAAGAGAAACACACTGAAAGATTTTGGTTCAAATACTTAAATTCTCTGTACTTTCTTATTAAAAAAAGTAACACTAAAAATTCCTAAAATCTAGAACATGCATGTACTAAATTAGTGGTTCTTAATCTAGCACTCTGCCACCAGAGGACATTTAGCAAAGCTGAAGATGTTTTTGGTTCTCACCACTGGGTGGGGGGATGCTGCTGGCATCTAGTGGGCAGAGGCCAGGGATGTTGCTAAATGTCTTATAATGTACAGGGCAGTCCCCACAACAAAGGATTATATAGCTCAAAATAACTCTCTGGACTAAACCAGAAGTCTAGAAATAAATTCAAAAGCCAACACAAATCATTTTTAATTAATCAGATGAAATTGAAGAGGGACTGAGGTAGCCCTTACTTTTTGTTTTGAATCATTCTTAAATATACAGTGAAAAAACCTAGCATAATAGCAATATGTATAGAATAAATTAAGACATGTTAATTAATTGGGAGTTTTATATTAATAGATTCTCGGGCTACATTAAAAGAAACGGAGGGCAGTAACAGTTCTTTTATACACTGCAGCAGTCCCAAACCACAGCTGAAATCACCTTTTTAATTTTGACTGCCACTTTTTAATAAGGACAATCACAAATCAGAACATGTCCAGAAAGATGATCAGATTAGTGACAAGGCTGGAAACTAGAGCAAAGGGTAGCTTAAATATTAGTGTTTAAAATTCTAAGTAAAGAACTAATTTCCTTTTTGTATTCCTTGCAGCAGCTGTGGTAAGATCTTGCATAGAGGATGCTCTCAACCTAATGTCAAATTAACTAAGGATAATTAGCCTGAGGATAAACAAGACTGAGAGGGAGGAGGGAGAAAGGAGACAGGAAAATAGTCTTTAAATATTTGAATTGATGTCATGTGGAGCATTTGTTTTGTGTCCTTACAGAGGGGACAAACATAAGAAAGCCCTTTTTATAGACCAAGTAGGGAAAATACAGAATTCATTCCTCTAAGAGGTTGCATATGAGTAAAGATATATAAAGTTCAAGTAAAGTTGAGTAAATGAGTGGATAATAATTCCACAAAGGATTCTGGGTGCCATAAGGAACTACTTTAGAGGAAATACCATGAAGTTATTAGAAATGAGTGTGTCCCTATTTGCAGTGTCCCTATTTGCACAGAAATCAGTAAATTCACCTCTATCTATGCCATCTTTAGGTCTTCAGGGAGCCACTTAAAATGCTCTGGTAGAAGGTTATTAACTAGGAAGTTACTACAGTGAAGGTGGGAGTGTGGCTCTCCTATTAACTAGTTATGTACGATAAATTACACTAACATATTTCCCTTTAAGGTCCCAAGACAACTTATGTGATCTGAAATAATTATTAAGTTGAACATCTTTGGAAGTGAATTATGTACTCTTTAAAGAGGTTTTGAAAAAGGTAAATTTCATAGTATATGAATTACATCTTAACTTTTAATTGCATTTTTATGAACTTAAACATGTTTACTTTGAAGCTATAATTTGAGCCATTAATAAGATAATTGTGGTTACTGCAGATTTTTTGAAGGGAATTTTGTCCAAGAAATAAATAGAATTCTTTTTCCTGTGGTTTGATTAGTATAAATACATTCTCAGGAAGTGAGTCAAGTTTTTTTTTTCTGATGACTCAATGTGACTTTTTAGTAGTTATAACACAATCCTTACCTTGATAGGCTAAAAACATTTTCGTGAAAGGAGGCATCCTGACCAGGAAGTGAAGCACAGTGCCGCTGTTAGAATAGTGGGAGCCATAGTGGTAGGGCTGCACCGGAGGCATGGGGTCATCTTCCCTGGCTCCTTTGCGGTACTCTTCCTCCAAGTACTGAAGGGGAATCAGAGGGGATGCAAGGTATTGTGCTCAAGGCAAAGCTGGAAAAGCCCCATTAGTTTTCTTTTTCATCCATTTCCACTATCCCTCTGACGCCATCCTCCATGGCTTGACCTCCACTGGTGCTTGGACCTCAGCCACCTTGAGTGTCTGGCGGTCTCCTCCTTGGTGCCCTGCTGAGGCCTGACTACTCGAGAAGCATATCACAGCCTGCACCTTTCCTGTCTCATTTCCTCATAGAAAATCACCTATTCTGCACGCTACTTCCAAGCACTACTGCTCCCAAACAACAACTTATAAGGTCTAAGTTGATTAAACACCACTAAATGGGAGCTATGATCACTGGAGATGTCTGTATTTTAAAAGTGAGTTTCAAGAAGTAATGTTATGTTTTTTTAGGGAAATGCACTTTTGTAGTGGTAATGCATTAGAAATGGAAAAACTATATTACATTATTGGAATTCTTAGGTCTTACTCTAACATTATATGGCCGTGTTACAATGTAGTTATAACAATGTAGTTATACTGAGATAAAAAAGAATACAGTGATTTATCACTACCCCTATCTTTCCATGATAAAGTAGGCAGCTCAATAAAATTTTTAATATCTGTCACTATTCTCATCTCCTTTAGCTTCTGTCTGGCACTGATAATAAAGTCAGGTGGTAGTGAATTGCCTGGAGCCACTTCTCTTTGATTCCATAGCATTGGCCCATTTTTAACTGCAGAAGAACCAAGCAGTGACAATTATAAGATGTTTGGAGGGATCTTTCTGGAACTATGACATAAAATAATGTGATAAATATAAACATGGCTTTAACTGCTCCTATCTTGATAGTGTTGTGAAAAATGAACATGTGCCTCAGGAGTTTTTAAAAATTTCTAACAGAATTCTATTAATATTAATTTCACAGAAAAAGGTAACTGACTTCTATTTTTAAAGTTTAAAATCTGGTATATTCCTGTTAATAAATCAATGCATAATTTGCTGAATGTGAATAATAAGGATTGTTGTACATTATAAATATACTGACATTGTTATACATATAACACTAGGGGATACAAATAGCAGGGGCCTGGAGATGTTTGTGATTTTTATAAGGAATATAGTTATTTATATATCTGAATATAAAAAATGATTATTTGCTTCCAGTTTATGCCACAAGTGAATTTGTTTTTTGGGCAAAGTGTTTCCAAAGCATTGAGATAGGTAACAATATTTAAAATCATATAATGATTTCCATTTGTTTGTTAATCAAAGCAGAAGGAAATAATAAACAGAAAGATCAATAGTGTATATTTAAAATTAGGTAAAACCCAAGTCTATAAAATAAAACTTCAGTTTTCATTTATCAAAATCTGAGGAGAAACTAAATCTACCTTGTATGTGTCCACATAACGATCTTCTTTCTCCTTATACTGCACAGCTATTGGTTTAGAGAGGTTTCTACAAAGGAAGAGATGATGGAAAAAATATGAACTATTTTGACACTGTCAGGGTTAAGCCACCTAGATGTCTGCATTCTCTAGGTAAAGTGATCAAAAAAATACTTGGCCTTTAGTTTAGTAATCTCATGTTGCTTACACATGTTGCTTTGCAAATAAGTCACCATTTGAAATTGTGATTTAATGATGCTGCCCAGGGCAGCCAATTCCTGCCAAGCCCTAGAGTTTCTGTCCCTCTTTTCCAGACTACACTAATTAGGCAGTGAAGAGTGAAGGGCAGATTGGACAGGAAAGGTGATCATGAGATGTTATGTAATTATTAGGCTAGTTATTGAAAGCTGAAGAAACAAAACATGCTTAAAATGACCAAGCTGAGATTTGGAGTGTAAGTATTGAAATAAACATTCGGTTCTCTAATTGGTAGATAGCAACTAACACCATTGTGCACACTATAGAGAATGTGTGCATGCATGTGGATGTGTCTTGCTGGTGTTTAACTGTATCAGCGAGGCTCTTGAGAGAATTCAAGGATGAATTCTCACTTTACAAACTACAGAGTCAAGTAGTATTCCTGTGGCACTTGCAAGAACAGGAGAAAAACATACAATGGGGAAGGACAGGCTTCCCTGCCTGAGGAGCCATAAGGTCTGACACTGGGATGGGGCCACTAGAGTTTCAGTATTTGACACGAAACCAATTAACATCAAGATTTGCCCATATTTCAGTAAGTCAAACCTGGTCTGCTTAGTCTGATGCTGATATATTTATTTTGGGGGTAATAATTTACTAGGGATATTGAAATTAGTGACAGTAAACACACTAATTTCGGTTCTCAGACTTTTCTAATCCTAAATACTTTGTTAAAAAAGTAAAACCAGTTTTACATAATATATATGAGCTCACATCTCAAAACAGAAATCATATTTAAGATCCTGGCATGCAATTTTTTCTAACTACCATAAATAAGTTTTTTTGACCACAACTAGTACTTATTATTGTGGTTGAAAAGTCAGAAATTATTGATGAGCAGACAGAATAAACCAAACATCAGCCACAATACTATCACAGGTAAAACATTTTGGTATATACCTTTCAAAACGTTTTTCTGCTTATCTGTGTGTGTATATATATATGTATGAACTTTTAAAATAAAAACAATATCTTGCCCCACCTATACTATAGTCATCTACAGTATCATATTTTTAATAGCTGTAATATATAACAATTTACTTAAACCTAGTGTTGGGCATTTGGCTTGTTTCTTTATTTTAGCTATTAAAAAAATGATATGAGGATTAATCTCATGGCTAAATCTTTGGATGTAGTGGCAGGCACTATAATCAGTAATGAGCCAGACAGACAGTTCTTGCCCTCAGGAAACTTCTGGTAGAGCACATACATCCTTAAGTGTTTCCTAAGAAAAAAGTCCCAGAAGTTAAATTGTTAAAACAGAGTATGCATATTTGAAGAGTTCTTTGGCTATATACTGTCAAATTGTCTTCCAGAAAGATTGTATCTACTTAATGCCAGTGATTAATTAAATGTTTAAATGTCCATTGCAGTGTACAAAAAGGTCTGTAAGATAAATAGCAGGCCATTTGTTATTTTTTAAATTGACAAATATATTAAAGTGGATCTGATTTCTTGAAAACTGTCCAGATGAGGCCCACTTTTCAGTAGTTATAATTAAAATACTCTAAAATACTAAGTAGAATAGTTTGAGCTAATATTTCTTTAAATTGAATAAGAGACTATTTTTTAAAACTAAACAAACAGAACATTCCCTCATCAATGAGGGGTATTTGATTACTATAAAAATGCAAATCACTCAGAAAAGGAAGGATAGAAGTGAGGAACTGGTGCCCTGTAGTTAGAGCCAATGGTGACGAATGAGTTTAGTTTTGCTTTGTTTTTTTGGGCCTTTAAAAAAATCCATACTGAAGAGAGGATTAAAGATGGCAGTGTGAGAGGTGAGACAGAGAACTCCTCCTAAAACCACATATAATACAAAAATATAGTTAATACAACTAATACTAAAAAAGCAACAGGAAAGAAGGCTGTGCCACACTGCATACACCTGGAAAACAGAGCAGACCTCACAAAAAAGGGTAACGTACTAAAGCCTTGATCTGGCGGGACCTAAGTCCTTCCCCCACCCCAGCTCACTTGCGGGAGGAAGAGAAATGGAGCAGGGAAGGAGTGGAAGCCTAGGACTGCTGAAAACCAAGCCTTGGACATCTGCTTTGGGAGCACAAACCTACATTGCATGGTGCTCTGGAATTAGGGGTGTTAGAAAGTTAAGACAGGCGGAATAATTGGAGAGAGTGAGATTCCAGTCATTTCTGGAGGACAGGGATCCACATTCAGTTGCTCTGGGACAAAGGAAAGGTGGGAGGTCTGAGAGTCTTCCTATCAGACAGAGGGCTGCTGAAGGGGCGGGGACTGCATGGAGTTGCCTGCTCAGGAGAAAGGATAGGTGGACAAGGTTGTCTGGGCACGCTCTGCCCAGCAGGTTGGGAACTTTCAGGAGCTTCAAGCACTCCACCCCCTGGCTGGCTACTCAGCTCCAAGGGCCCCCACTGTGACATGCAGCTGGCTGCACCTTCCTCCTGGCCTGATAGCACTGGCTCCCAAATTGGTAGTCCCAGACCTGGCATCAGGCCAGACAGAGGGAGGACCTACCTATAGCAGCTACAAATGCAAAGCACAGAGGCTTATACCTTTGTACTCAACCCACTAGTTCTGACAGTGGAGACAGGCACTGCAGCTGGGAAGCAGGAAACAGCTCTTTCCTCCCCGCAGGCACAAGTGCCACTGCCTGACAACCCCCAACATCACTCTAGGGGCTGAGCAGCTCCAGAGATAAGAGTTTCTATGCACTAGAGGGTGCCACATACAAATTTGAAACATCAAAAGAACCTGGTTCAAACCAAAATCTCACAAACACCAAAAAACGGGCCAAGTGAAATTGAACTCACCAATCTTCCTGAAAGACATTTCAAAATAAAAATCATAAAAATGCTAATGGAGGTACAGAAAAATATTCCATTCAAGAACTTCAGGGACAAATTTAGGACAGAGATTAAATCACTAAGACATTCCATATCTGCAATGAAACATAAAATGGAGGGATTTAAAAGCAGATTAGATGCAGTAGAAGAGATGGTACATGGAATAGAAATAAGAGAAAAGGAATACAAAGAAGTGGAGACACAGAGAGAAATAAGGATCTCTAGGAATGAAATAATCTTGAAAGGAGGTAATTGCTGAAAATTTCCCCAACACAAGGGACCCAAGGAAGACAACACCAAGACATATAATAATTAAAATGGCAAAGACCAAGGTTAAAGACAGACTATTAAAAGCAGCCAGAGAGAGAAATAAAATCACATACAAAGGAGCGCCCATGAGGCTATCATCAGACTTCTCAGCAGAAACCTTACAGGCCAGAAGGGAGTGGCACGATGTGTTTAAATCAATGAAACAGAAGGGCCTTGAATCAAGATACTGTATCCAGCACAATTATCATTTAAATATGAAGGAGGGATTAAATAATTCCCAGACAAGCAAAAATTGAGGTAATTTGCCTCCCACAAACCACCTCTACAGAGTATTTTAGAGGGACTGCTCTAAATGGGAGCACTCCTAAGCCGAAATAGATTTCACCAGAGAAAATAAAATCATAGCAAAGAAAGCAGACCAACCAAATACTAACTAAAGGCAAAAAATAAAAAAATAAAATCAACTACCCACAAAAGCAGTCACAGGAAACACAAAAGAACACAGAACAAATCACCCAACATATGAAGAATGGCAGAGGAGGAATAAGAAGGGAGACAAATAAAGAATCACCAGTGTTTATAATAACTCAATAAGTGAGTTAAGTTAGACAGTAAGATAGTAAAGAAGCTACCCTTGAACCTTTGGTAAACACGAACTGAAAGCCTGCAATGGCAATAAGTACATATCTTGCAATAATCACCCTAAATGTAAATGGACTTAATGCACCAATCAAAAGACACAGAGTCATAAAATGGATAAAAAAGCAAGACTCATATATATGCTGTTTACAAGAGACTCACCTCAAACCTAAAGACATACACACACCAAAAGTCAAGGGATGGAAAAAGATATTACATGCAAACAGCAGGGAGAAAAAAGCAGGTGCTGTAGTACTAGTATCAGACAAAATAGATTTCAAAACAAAGAAGTAACAAGAGATAAAGAAGGATATTACATAATGAAAAAGGGGTCAGTCCAACAAGAGGATATAACCATTATAGATATATCTGCACCCAATACAGGAGCACCAGTATATGTGAAACAAATACTAACAGAATTAAAGGAGGAAATAGAATGCAATGCATTCATTTTGGGAGACTTCAACACACCACTCACTCCAATGGATAAATCCAGCAGACAGAAAATAAGTAAGGACACAGAGGCACTGAACAACACAGTAGAACAGATGGACCTAATAGACATCTACAGAACTCTACATCCAAAAGCAACAGGATACACATTCTTCTCAAGTGCACATGGAACATTCTCCAGAATAGACCACACAGTAGGCCACAAAAAGAGGCTCAGTAAATTAAAAAAGATGGAAATCCTACCAACCAACTTTTCAGACCACAAAGGTATAAAACTAGAAATAACTAGTACAAAGAAAGCAAAAAGGCTCACAAACACATGGAGGCTTAACAACATGTTCCTAAATAATCAATGGATCAACTACCAAATTAAAATAGAGATCAAGCAATACAAGGAAACAAATGACAACACCACAAAGCCCCAACTTCCATGGGACGCAGCGAAAGCAGTCTTAAGAGGAAAGTATATAGCAATCCAGGCATATTTAAAGAAGGAAGAACAATCCCAAATGAACAGTCTAATGTCACAATTATCGAAATCAGAAAAAGAAGAACAAATGAGGCCTAAAGTCAGCAGAATGAGGGACATAATAAAGATCAGAGAAGAAATAAATAAAATTCAGAAGAA